CTTAATCCTGCTGAACCTCAGCTTCATCATATGTAAAAAAGGATAATAACGTCTGCCCCTAGAGCTGGGAGAAGTACATTAAGTGAAATGGTGCATGTAAAATTCTTAACCCAACACAAAGCACATAATGACAGCTCCGCAAACAGAGCTATTATGACGACTTGCACGACTAGTTCTACTGCTCTGTTGCTGATACCACTACCTGGGAAACAAGACAGCCACATGTCCAGAAAGAGCCTAGTGGCCATATTTGGAGGGTCAAGCTAAGGAGAGATCTGCAGATGTGACAGTAGGCAGGGTGTTTGCGTACCAGAAGCAAGGCATGGGGTATGTACCAGTTTAACCACACCTTCTAACCAAGTGTACCCCTTACAGTAGCTTAGGTGGGTAGAAGTTAAGGTGCACAGGGGTGCTGAAACCTGGTGCCAGTGTGGTCCAGCAGGGCTGGAAGTGAGACCTTAGCTTCACTGTGTACTCCCAGCTGAGGGCACATGCCAAGCCCAGGTGCATGCCCTAGCTTGTTTCTTCCCCAGCCTTCCCACCCTGAGAAAATACTTGATGACAGAAGTGAGTCTTGCTTATTTTTACTTTCTAGCTACATGCCGGTTGGTATTTTGTTCCTGATTGCCGGGAAGATCATAGAAGTCGAAGACTGGGAAATATTCCGCAAGCTGGGCCTTTACATGGCCACCGTCCTGAGTGGGTATGTCAGACTCGAGGGAAGAAACAGAAACCTCATTTGAGCCAACGGATTTCTGCTGAGAGCCTGGGTTTCAGTTGGTTAAAATTGGCTTCTCTCCCACATGCAGGGAAAGATGGGGTTCAGAGATAAGAGAGCAGCAGGGAGGAGGGCTGCCCTTTAACGGCTGAACTGGAGGTGGATCACACTGTGCTAATTTCCAGATCTTGGCAGAACAGTCCGGACCATGCTTTGTCACTGCCTTTATTAGTTGTGTTAGCCCACTGGTGGCCTCTCTTGGCCTGCTCCTGGCCTTAACTTCTTTAAGGATGTAAACCAACCAAACCAGTAAGAACATGCCCCACGTACCCCGAGTCTGAAAGAAATTAGGCAGGGCCTAAATTAAGTCAGACTGGAGCAAGTAGGAGTGGGATGGCTGGTTGGTTCCACTCCCGCTGGTGGGCCTGGTAGGCACAGTCACAGCCTGCATCATTGGAGAGGGTGCTAGGAGAATCTTTAGATTGGTAAGAACTGTGCAAAGCAGGAGGGCAGTAGGAGACAGGTTGTGTGCATATTTATTGTAGCCCACTTATTGGTTCTTGAGGGGAGATGTGGTGGGATAGGTTATGAGTGGTGTGCCCAGATATCTAGCTGGGGGCAGGATACGTCACATGTGCTAAGAAATATGGACCAAGGGAATGACTAAACATCATCAGCTTGACTCCCATAGGTCCTTGCCCCCAAACACCCAGCTGGAGCAATCAGCTCACCTGTTGGAACTCAGATGCACTGGGGACTTTCCACTGCACAGCATTTGGTTCTTAATCTGTGTGTACCAAAAGCATAGCCCTGCTGGTCAATGGAGAAGAAAGCCAGAATCAAATCCCAGGGCCCCAGTAGTAATGGAGGTGGGACCATCCACCTTACTGGAGGTCAGGGGCTGTGTCCAGGTCATGGTGTGGCAGAGGTTTATTATGCTGAGCTATTTCATAATGGGGTTCTGCTGGTTTCTGCTCTATTGACCTATCTAGGTTTCTAACAGAAAACTAAAAGTCAGTTTCTCATAGTTCTAAGCCACAGCCTCTCTGTCTATAAGATCCTCTTTCCTGACCTCCAGGATCTGTATTTTCCGTGACCATTTCTTATTATTTCAGCTTCACATAACTGATCTGTAAACTCTAAGTTCCCACTTACATGGCATCTGCTAAATCAGTCTCATTTCTTAAGCCCCCTGGCAAGGAATAGTTTGGAAGGTAGGAATGACAAAGAAAAGAGGGTCAGTCCTGAAGTATGGCTGTGGAAAAGCAGGGATTACTTCCTCCTTATTGCACCCTGATTCTCCTCTTAGGTGGCGGGTGCCATCCAACCAGACAGTGGCGTGGCCCAGGCTGAGTGCTGTGATAAGGGCTATAATACTATTGGCCACAGAGTCACCAAGGAGGGAAAGGTCAGCTTGACCTAGGAAGGTGAAGGAAGGCTTCCCAGAGGAGGGGCAAGTTTCGCTGAGTCTTAGAGGAGGAATAAGAATTCAACAGCAGAAGGAAGTGAAAGCATGTTAGCACGTATAGCAGGAAGCGCAGGTACAGGGCTCAGCAGCATGACACAACTTGTTCTGTGAGCTCAGCAACTGGCTTAGCCATTTACTTTGACAAGATATTTGATTTGCTGAGTCTCTTCTTCCTCATATGTGCACTGGAGACATATATTCCTGGCCTCTTTTTCATATTCTCATTGGGTCATTATGCAAGTTGAATGATATATCATGAGTAAAACTGCTGCTTGAAAAAAAGTAGTAGTATGAAGAGATGATATCATCTATGAACCTGTTTCTCTCCTGTTTACAGGCTTGCAATCCACTCCATTGTAATTCTCCCACTGATCTATTTTCTAATTGTACGAAAGAACCCTTTCCGATTCGCCATGGGAATGGCCCAGGCTCTCCTGACAGCTGTCATGATCTCCTCCAGGTAAATAGAAGAGGGGTGTCTGGAAGAAGTCTGTGAACCAAGCCTTAGCAACTCTCACCTCACCTGATGAAGCACTGGCTGCAGCTGGTGGGTTTTGTAGCTGCCTTTAATTTGAGAAATGACGTCCATAGTCTCTGCCCATGTTCTTAAACATATTCCCTCACCTACTGGATATTTCCTGCCCTCTTGGCAGAGCCTGCAGCCCGGAAGGGGTTATAGTGTAGCTGGGGAGATTGGCAAGCACAGCGCCTTCTGATTCCTGGACCTGCCAAAAGTGCCATCATGCTTTGAGATCTCGGTTTAGTTTTTGGAACAGAGGTCTCTCTTCAGGCAGGGATCGAGGACCAGCATTCCTAGACCATCAGTTCCTTTCTCTTTTATCACACAGTTCAGCAACACTGCCAGTCACTTTCCGCTGTGCTGAAGAGAAGAACCGGGTGGACAAGAGGATCACTAGATTTGTGTTACCCGTTGGTGCTACAATCAACATGGATGGGACTGCACTCTATGAAGCAGTGGCAGCTGTGTTTATTGCACAGTTGAATGACTTGGACTTGAGCATTGGGCAGATTATCACTATCAGGTGGGGCATGAAGTCACACTCATTTTCATCTGTTACTGGAATTGCCTCAAGTGAAAATCATCTGTGAAGGGAGATCAAGGATGGTTCAGTGATAGGTTGATTTTCTTGGTCTACAAAGTCCCTTCCCAAGATTAAGCACAACTATATTACAAGTAGTGGGATCGTGGTACATAAAACTGCTTCAGGTCTGGATAGCCAAAGGCATCCCTGTGTTCTCAGTCCAGTGCACCCACTAGGTGCTAGGCACAGAGTAGGTACCAAGGACTCAAGGTGGAATAAGGACTGGTCCCTGCTTTCAAGGGGTTCCTGGTAGAAAGGTAAGGTATGAAGATATCTAAATAAGTGCTGAGTGGTATGGTAAAGGCTATAATAGAGGTCTGAGTTGAGGGGGCACAAAGGGAACTGAAGAAGAAAGGGTTGGCTCTACCTGGGAAGGCGAGGAAAGGCTTCCTGGAAGAAGGGAACGTTTAGCTAAGTCTTAGAAGAGGAATAAGAATTTAGCAGTAGAAGGAAGGAAGCTAAAAGCATTTTGGAAAAAGGAATAGCATTAACAGGGGTCTTGATGTAACTATGGCCTAGTTACAGAGTACGGATTATTTGGTATGGTTGACATAAAGAGTACAATGTGAAGGCAGGGATCATATTTTAGAGGGCTTTGTGTGAGGAGCTCATGGAAGGGTCTTAGACAGTCTTTCACATTATGGACAGATTTGCATTTTAGAGAGGCAACTGGTAATATGGTGGATGGCCCCAGTGGGGGCAGGAACCATAAGCTAGAAGACCAGTTAGAAGACTATTGCAAGTAAGGTATGAAAAGGCCTACATTAAGGTACTGACACGGGGGATGGAGAAGAGCTAATGAATTCAAGAGGCATTTACTGGATTCAGAGTGAGGGACAGAGGAAGGCTAGGATGACCCCCAGGATTGGTGGATGGTTCTGGATTGATGGATGGTGCTTACCAGAACGGGGACTAGTATAAGAGAAGCAAGTACAGGTGGGAAGGTAAAGAGATTACACTTTTTGACACATTGAATTTGAAATGCCTTTAAGACATGCAGGTGGAAATATGCAGTGAGAAATGTGGTCACAACTGCAGATACAGAAGTCAGAGTCATCAGCTTGATGGTGCTCATCAAGCATGTGGGTCGTGAGTCAGTTATGTATGTTTGACCATGATTGGCTGTGACCTTGACCAAGTTACTCGAATTCTCTAAGCTTCTGTTTCTCACCTGTAAAATGAGGATAATAATAGTACCTACATTTTATGCAAGGAGTGATAATTAAGTTAGATGATGCATATAAAATGCTTAGAACAGTGCCTACATCCTGAGCACTCAGTAAATGTTGGGAATGGATGACATTACGTAGGGAGAGTTTGTAGAGAAGAGAAAAGAAGAAGGACTGAGCCCTAGAAAAGCCTAATATTAGAGGCAGGCAGAACGGGGAAAACCCAACAGGAGAATGAGGAGGAATAGAAAGGTGGTAAGAGAGCCATGAAACCATGGTGTCATGGAAACCCAGAGAAGAGAGATTTTCAAGGATGAAATGGTCAACAGAGTAAAATCTTGCAGAGAATTGTAGTCAAATGAAGACTGAAATTGTCTGCTCAAGCAGATGGTGAAAATGTCATTAGCGAATTTTTTAAAAATTTATTTATTTATTTTTGGCTGCGTTGGGTCTTCATTGCTGCACGCGGGCTTTCTCTAGTTGCGGCGAGTGGAGGCTACTCTTCGTTGTGGTGCATGGGCTTCTCATCGCAGTGGCTTCTCTTGTTGCGGAGCACAGGCTCTAGGTGTGTGGGCTTCAGTAGTTGTGGCGCACGGGCTCAGTAGTTGTGGTGCACAGGCTTAGTTGCTCCACGGCATGTGGGATCTTCCTGGACCAGGGCTCGAACCCGTGTCCCCTGCATTGGCAGGCAGATTCTTAACCACCGTGCCACCAGGGAAGTCCTCATTAGTGAGTTTTGCCAGAGATGTTTCTCTGGAATAGCACTGTTCAATATCGTAGCCATTAGCCACACACACAAATTGGACAAAGCAGACAGCAAAGGTTCTGTCACTGTAGAAATAGGTGCCATCATAGTGGAAAACTCTGCTGGACAGTGCTGCTTTGAAGTAGTGGGTTGGGATTAGAGTTAATCCCGAGACTTCAGTTTAGAGTAGAAGTTTAAGACCAAACCGGGTCCCTAGGCCTACACACAGTTGAATCCGAACCTTTCAGAGCTAATTCACTCTTGCATCCTCAGCACTTGACATAGGCATAAATCCCAGGCAAAAAGTAAGTTCTTGCAGTATTCTAATGCAGTAAATTTTTAAATCTTCCCAACCCTAAATCATAAAGTATGTACTGCAGTTTGCTTGAAATTAACTGAAGTACAAACTAGACCATTTGGCACATCAGCCGGGAAGCTATACCAGTGCCTCCTGATCTGTAAAATGTATTAGTGACTAAGGAAGCTAGACCCCAAGGAGCATGGGTAAAATTCTGTAATTTGAGTAGCAGCGAGTATGTTAAAAGTGAAACCCTGAATCATGCCTGAGAAAGTTCCACAACCACCGTGGTTCCAGCAGTTGTTACTTTTACTTTTCCAAGTGCCTTTTCCCACCTCCCTCACCACAGCCTGTGGAACCCAGTCTGTGCTTAACTTATTTCCAAGGAGTGGTTGTATGAGGTGCCAGTTCTTTTCAGCATTTGCCATTTGGGGGATGAATTCCCTTCCTCTGCCTCAGTCATAAGTTTCCTAGATCTTTCTAACCCTTTTTTTTTTTTTTTTTTTTTTTTTTAACCTCACTGCTAGAGAAATAAACTTTGGGCCTAGAGACTAAATAATCAATTCACATGAAAAACCTGTCTCCCTGCTCTGGTGTATTCTTTTTTTTTTTTTTTTTTTAATTTATTTATTTTGGCTGCGTTGGGTCTTCGTTGCCACACGCAGGCTTTCTCTAGTTGCGGCAAGCGGGGGCTACTCTTTGTTGCGGTGCACAGGCTTCTCATTGCGGTGGCTTCACTTGTTTCAGAGCATGGGCTCCAGAATGCAGGCTCAGTAGTTGTGGCACACAGGCTTAGTTGCTCCGTGGCATGTGCGATCTTCCTGGACCAGGGCTCAAACACGTGTCCCCAGCATTGGCAGGTGGATTCTTAACCACTGTGCCACCAAGGAAGCCCCTCTGGTGTATTCTTAAATCATAATTGCTGATAACTACTGGCCCAGAGCAAATAACAGCTGTGAGGCCCAGAGTAATCATTGACTTAAAAAATCCTCTGGCTCTACCTGGGAGAGAATGAAATAATAAGTGTTGTTTTTTTTTTTTTTTTTTAATTTTTACAAGTTACAGTTGTGGCTCATGTGATTGATGGTTACAGAGATTTTTGGATCCATAGTTTATCTCTTTCTATGGTCCTTTTGGACTGGACATCAAAGAAACCATCCACCTAAAACATTCCCTTTCATGGTTTTATCAAAATATTCACTTATCAAAGGTTACAACTGATTGAAAATGGGATAAAGTTTCTTATAACAAAAGATAATTATGGGATTTGGGGCCTAGAAAGAGCTTAGAGGGAAAAAGTAGCAGCAGTAGTAATAGTAGATGTTTTTATGATAATTTTAATAGTAATACTAGTAGCAGTAGGAGTTGTAACAGCTGCTGACGTAGCAAAATGGCATCAGTTTTAAGCATCTACTACATCCAGGTGCTGTACTTGATGCCTTACTTATATTACCTCATCTAATCTTAACAGCAGCCCTGCAAAGTAGACATATTCTCCCCATCTTACAGGCAAGAAATTGAGACTCAGAGAAGTAACTTGCCTAAGGACACACCGTTAGTAAAACGGCAGAGCTGGATCTGTCTGCCTCTAAAACCTGTGCTCACTCTAGCTCACGACTCAGTCCCCATCCTGTATGGAGAGCTGAGTTTTAAATGGCCTGACCTAAAACTAGATCTCAGTGCTAGGAAAGAACTTTCTACCAATGATTATTGTGTTTTCTTCTGTGAAACCCTCTAAAGTCAAAGTGGGGTATGTTCAAGAAGAAGTAGGTTTTTTACATTTTTACCCCCATCTGAAGATTTATAGTTCCAAGTTTCAGACCTAAGCCAGGCAAATGGCTGAAGTTTAATCAGCAAGGTCAAGGCTCAAGGGCAGAGTTTTCTTTGACTAAATGGATTTTGAGTTTCAAGCCCAGCCTCAATCCGTAGGGACGTGGTTAACCGTGATGTGTTGGGCCTTCCAAGAGGGATCAGTGGGTATGGACACAAATCACTTCTGACAAAGAAAACCCACTGATGCATTCACTTTAAATGTTTTCGACCACCACTGACATAAACTTAGGTTTTCCAAAGACTAAAGTCAGAACATATCTAAAGGATTATGCAAGCCTGAAACTTTTAGAGGAATTGGGACAGCCCCAGAAATCTCTAATTTACTGTAAGTTGGTGGTCACAGCCACTGAAGGAAACCACACTTGTCAAAGAACTCTGGCCTGTGTTTGACCGTGCCCTCAGAGACCACCTGTGACACATCACTAGGCAGATGAATGAACAGGAGAATCGGCTTGGTGAGAACTCTGAGGCTTTTTTAGCCCACAGAGTATGGATTTGTAGATAGAATCAGGGATTCTTCTAGTTTAAATGGACAGTGTCTCCATCTTCAGCTTTAAATCCAATGGCATCCTTGGTCCAAGGATAAGAACGTGTATCCAGAAAATATAGGGGTCCCCTCAAGCTCATTCAAATCCAGGGACATTTCAGGGCAGGGCAAACCCTTGTTCTCTCCAAAATGGCCAGATTTAAATCGGGAAGATGTTGCTGATGAAAAACTGCACATTCCAAAGAGAAAAATCCCTAGTGCCACATTTGATCTGCGCAAGAGGGATCTTTTTAAATACAAGGTAACAAAGTTCATTTGGCTACCTCTCCTGGATTCCAGATCTTTCTTCCTTTTGCACAAAGTGCATCCACTGGCAAAAAGGAGCAGTCGGGAATAAACACTTGTACCTTGGACAGGAGTCACAGCTATTTCTCAACTCAGTGCCCTAAAGGGCAGCTCCCAGAGAGGTCAAGAGACTTGTGATGTAAAAGAAAGTGCATGAAACCTGTTTGGCCAGTGCCTCATTCCTTTGCCTTCACCTGGAATACCCTTGCCCATCCACCCCCATCCCCACCCCTTCACCATCCTTCAAGGCAGTGTAAATTCCTGGCACACATTAGATGCTCAGTAAATGATTGCCTGGGTGAGTAGATGGAGGAAGGGAGGAAGAAAGCAGGTGGAGAGGTACTTGGCACTTGTTTAGGATGGATGGATACATGGATGGGTGGATAAAGCCCTCCATTAACACCTCGGTTGGTAAACTCTTGCCTTCCTGTTAAGTGTCTCTCTAGCTCATTTTTTGTGTGCCACTCACGCAGTTCCTCTCCACTTCCTCATGTTACAATGACTTGCCATATCTCCCCACTGGAAAAAGATCATGCTCTTCTCAGTCTTCCACAGCTCTCTAATGAGGCAGAGCTTGTGCTCAGCAGAGAACAGATTCTCACTGGCCAGTCTAGGGACAGAGCAGTAACAGCCAATAGGACTAACCGTTTTGGACCAGGGCCCTTGAAGGGAGAAATGGGTGTCTGACTCCTTTTGTGTTGGTGTGTTTTGTCTACAGTGTCACGGCCACAGCCGCCAGCATCGGAGCTGCCGGTGTGCCCCAGGCCGGCCTGGTGACCATGGTGATCGTGCTGAGTGCTGTGGGCCTGCCCGCTGAGGATGTCACCCTCATCATCGCTGTTGACTGGCTCCTGTGAGTTGGGATAAACGCACTGCCTCTGGCAGATGGGAAGGCAGGCTTCCCAGCCATACATAATCTGCAGTCTGTCATCATTCTCCCCTCAGATTGCCTAATGAGCCATCTGTTGCTGCTTTAATTTCCCTCTGACCAGGCCATCTGATAACATGCTTAAAAACTAACTCCTCATAACTTCAAGCAGTGATTTTATAAAGCTAGTGATCTCCATTAACTCATTATACCTGGTAATGCTCAAGGTTAGGAGCTGGGTGTGGGATGAGATAAACATAAAATAATAAGGTGAAGAAGCTGGGCAAGGCCCCAGACATTCCAAACCCAATAGGCCACCCTAGCCTATCCCAGCCCTGAGTCAGCATCATAGGTTCAGAACCACCAGGTTCAACGTCAGCCCACCTTCCCAAGATCGTCAGCACCATCAGGGCAGTAGCACAAGCAAAGGCTTTGGGATAAGACTAACGTGGATTTGAATCCTGGTTCAGTGTCTTACTGGCTCTTTGACCTTGAACAAGTTCCTTAACCTCTCTGGGGGCCAGCTGCATTATCTATGAGATGGGAAAGATTCTGTCTAGTTCATGGGGTTGGTATAAGGACTGAGTGAGCTAAAATGAGAGGAGTGTCCATAAGAGTGTCTAGCTGGCAGTATGTGCTCAATTAACAGCAAGTTTAATTTTATGATTAGAATGAGTTGGACCATTCAGGCCTGAACCAACAATTCATTCTCTCTCTCTCTCACAAAACAACAGACACACACATGCACACACCTACCTAAGGAACACAGCAGAACATCTGGGTAAGAACATGCCTTTTGTGACCCCCAAGGTTAAAGTTAGAATGAGTCTGGTTCCCGGCTTTAACCTTGATACCCACTCTGTGCAGTGGTCTTCCAGCATCTGGGTGTGGCTCTGTCCCCTGGCCATCAGGGGAGAGTTTGCTCCATATTGAGCCTTCACTCAGAACCAGCCAGCTTTACTGGGGAGTACAGTGCTATGTAGTTTGGAAGTAGCAGCTGAAAATAGTAGAAAGGGAAGCAGAAACATTCCATGTGGCTTTGAAGATACCGTCACATCCCAGAGGGCAGAAGCTTCTGCACTTGGGAAGCTGCTATGGGGCCCCCCCCGAGGCTAGCTGGTTCTTCAAGGTCCAACTGAGGTGGCCCCTTTCTTGCCAAGATACCCTACCATTGAGGCAGGTGCTTCAATTTTTCTTTCTAGTGGTGATGGTGGATTTGCACTTCTCTCCTTTCCCTGGTTCTTCCTGAAACACAAGTGACCTTCACTTCCAAGACATCCAGAGAAGTCAAAGGCCTGACCTGATCCACGGACAAGAAGACACTAGCTGGTCCACACCAGGGTCTAGTTCAATCCATGTTCTAAATAGCAGGAGGGCACCCAGAATGGACGTGTGTAAGCACATGCGTAAGCGTTTTCTGTCCTGCAGGTGTAGCTTTCACAGTATTCATGTACACATTTCCTAGCAACAGTGCTCCAGCATCCAGGATGCCTCCTCCACCTACTCGGCTTCCTGCCACCAGCCTCTCCTCTGGGCTGTCTAGGGGTTACCATTGGCTGAGAGTGCCACAAAGAGTAAGCTATTCCCAGGCTGGCTGGGGTTTCTGACCCTATGCTCAGTGGTGTCCCTGTTGGCTTGCTCATGGAGTGACCTTGTGTGGGAAAGAAAGGAGCACACCGGGGACACACACACCACCCACAAAACATCCAAGTTCTCTCATCTTAGCCAAAAGAAGGCTCAGAAATGCCCATGAGAAAGAGGTTGGGTGAAAGACTAATGAATCCTGACCCTCCCTCAGCTCCCCCAAAATATCTGTGAAGACGGGGTTCACATTTCTTTGGGAGGAGAGGAGGGAATTTAGGGAGCTCAGTGCTGAATTCAGGAGATTCACTGTGACTGGCGGGGACCCAGGGCAGCCTGTATGCTCATTCTGTGCCTTTACAAACCACCTCTGGCCCAGGCCTGTGAAGTGGAGAGCCTCTGGTCAGCCAGCCCTGGGGACAGCACTTTGTGCTTTGCTTAATTTGTAACTGAATTCCTTGGGTCCTTTCCCGTCTCCAACTTGAAGGAAAATGAAATCCGGGCCTTCTGTCTGACTCCCTCTGTCCGCCCCAGGGATCGGTTCAGGACCATGGTGAATGTCCTCGGCGATGCATTCGGGACTGGCATCGTGGAGAAGCTCTCTAAGAAGGAGCTGGAGCAGATGGATGTTTCATCTGAGGTCAACATCGTGAACCCCTTTGCCTTGGAATCCACGACACTCGACAATGAAGACTCGGACACCAAGAAGTCCTATGTCAACGGAGGCTTTGCCGTCGACAAGTCCGACACCATCTCATTCACCCAGACCTCACAGTTCTAGGGCCGTGGCTCTGGAAAACTGGGAGTGGTGAAGGACCTCTCCAGGAGAGTCATCTCTTAGCAAATTCAAACATTAAGTAAGGAAAAGAAAAACACTAACAGCCAACTGTACATTTGATTTGATATACAGACCTCTGGATTATTTTCTATATTTGGATTCACAGCTTTTGCTCTCCGAGTTCTGGGATTTGGGGGTGGGGTAAGATGAGAGAAAATTGATTGACAGGAAAGCTGTATTATCTGGAATTTTTAAATCCTGTGGAAGACAGAGTTAGGAAGTATTTAAAGTAGTAACTGTTTTAATTAGGTAATATCAATAGATGTGAAAGAGAAACTGCTTTCTCATGCACAGACCAGTGTTTTGGGTTTTTTAAAAAAATATTCTGTCATTACTCAGGCTTTCTATTGCCGTGCATTTCCTTTGACCTCTCACATTTTTATAGATTATAATGCATGTAAACAGCCCGCCCCCCCACAAGTTAATGTGCCAAATTGTCCATTTTGAACTCAGCTCCGGCCAATTTCAAAGAAACTACTCTGAAAGAAAACAGACCAGCACGGTTCTGCAGTAACAGTTTTAAGATGTATGCGAGGTCTGGGGAGAAGAGAGAAGGGTTCTTTTTTTCAATGTACTGTATTGGGACGCTGGTAACTATTAACCCAGTGTTCAGTATAGAGCTAGATATATATATATATATAAATATGTATATATTTATTATTTTCATATAGTTTGCCAGACAGAGATCACAATTGAACTGTCAACGTGAAATACAGAGCTCTCCTTGTACTTGAATAATAACTACAATTTCAATCCAGATCTGCTTTGGGGCTTAATCAGAACCCCTCTCTCATAAGCATAAGAATGAGAAATCATGTTGTTTGATCGTTTCACGTTTGTGTATCAGCCCCAAAGCAGAGATGTTATTCTGGTGATACTCTGAGGTGGCACAGCCCACTCATTTACAACTTCCAGATTCTACTTCTGGGAGGGAATCCATATCAGCTCTATATAAGACTATATACAAAGTTGTAACTCATATAAGGCTGGATGTGTTTTTATCCAACTGGATGTGTTTAATATGATAATTATATTATCCAACTATAATTCTTCCGAAGTCAATTATACCTACTTAAAAAGACAGTACACTTTCCTACCCACCAGGCCCAAACAACAATGGCAAGCTACCAGCTAAGTTGTATTTTAATATGGGTTTGATGGACTGAACAAGCCACATTGGCCAGAAAAGCACTGTCCCTACCCTAGATTCTTGCAGAGTAAATCCCACAACATGAGACATTGGTATCAGTGGTTCAGGGAAATTCTTCCATTGTATGAAACTCGTGTCCTCCTCCAGGGAAGTTTGTTCTAACTAACTAGTAGTCTAGTAATCTTGGCCCCTGCTCATTAAAATCCGTTGCCTGTCATTCTTCTGCTCATCTGTGAAGACAGCGTATTGAAGTCTGTGCTCGGCTCTCATCTTGTAAATAATGCTTACCATATATTTGTGTTTACACCAAGATCCAAAATAGTCCTGTTTCTGCAGTATTGCGTAGCCAATTAAACCTGTGCTTTTATATTTAAGAAACCAGAAACTGTGCCAAAGATGATGGAATAGTAAAACAAAATGCTCAGTATTGACCACCTGCACCTGAAATCTACAAGAGGATGATACCAAATGGTCATGTACACATAAATTATGGACCCATGATTCAATGTGAATTTTAACATGCAAATACTGTGTTGTTGTTTAGGAAGTAAATATAAATACAGTTGAATCAGTAATTTATCTTGGGCTGAATGTTCTACCCCTTGGCAGCCTGCTCTGATTTGAGGCACTGGAGTTGGCAGAGCCATTCGTGAACTGCAGGTCATCCTTATTTTGGAGTGAGTTTGTAACCAGCCTCTTAACACACTGTGCTGTTAACTCATAAAAGAGAACAATGTTCCATTTCAGTCTCAATAAACATTTCCATCATTCTTTCTTCTCTGCCTTTTCCTTCCCTAATCTGTTCTTTTATCTCACGCACTCCAATGGGTGTGGGAAGGGAGAGACCTGGTCAGTTGATAGTCACACATGAAACATCTCATTGCCCTAGTAATTCCAGAGACTGCAAGAGGGCACAGGTTGTATCTTACATTCCTTAGCATATCTCGTCCCATACCCGCCAGTGCACATTACAATACTGAGCACGTAGTATTACTAAAAACAATCTGATATCTCATTGTAGTTTTGATTTGCATTTCTCTAATTAATGATGTTGAGCATCCTTTCATGTGTTTGTTGGCAATCTGTATATCTTCTTTGGAGAAATGTCTATTTAGGTCTTCTGCCCATTTTTGGATTGGGTCGTTTATTTTTTTCATATTGAGCTGCATGAGCTGCTTGTAAATTTTGGAGATTAATCCTTTGTCAGTTGCTTCATTTGCAAATATTTTCTCCCATTCTGAGGGTTGTCTTTTGGTCTTGTTTATGGTTTCCTTTGCTGTGCAAAAGCTTTTAAGTTTCATTAGGTTCCATTTGTCTATTTGTTTTTATTTCCATTTCTCTAGGAGGTGGGTCAAAAAGGATCTTGTGATTTATGTCATAGAGTGTTCTGCCTATGTTTTCCTCTAAGAGTTTGATGGTGTCTGGCCTTACATTTAGGTCTTTAATCCATTTTGAGTTTATTTTTGTGTATGGTGTTAGGGAGTGTTCTAATTTCATTCTTTTACATGTAGCTGACCAGTTTTCCCAGCACCACTTATTGAAGAGGCTGTCTTTTCTCCACTGTATATTCTTGCCTCCTTTATCAAAGATAAGGTGACCATATGTGTGTGGGTTTATCTCTGGGCTTTCTGTCCTGTTCCATTGATCTATATTTCTGTTTTTGTGCCAGTACCATAGTGTCTTATTATAGCTTTGTAGTATCGTCTGAAGTCCAGGAGCCTGATTCCTCCAGCTCTGTTTTTCTTTCTCACACCAGTCAGAATGACCATCATCAAAATATCTACAAACAATAAATGCTGGAGAGGGTGTGGAGAAAAAGGAACCCTCTTGCACTGTTGGTGGGAATGTAAATTGATACAGCCACTATGGAGAACAGTATGGAGGTTCCTTAAAAAACTAAAAATAGAACTACCATATGACCCAGCAATCCCACTACTGGGCATATACCCTGAGAAAACCATAATTCAACAAGAGTCACGTACCAAAACATTCAATGCAGCTCTATTTACAATAGCCAGGACATGGAAGCAACCTAAGTGTCCATCGACAGATGAATGGATAAAGATGTGGCACATATATACAATAGAATATTACCCAGCCATAAAAAGAAATGAAATTGAGTTATTTGTAGTGAGGTGGATAGACCTAGAGTCTGTCATACAGAGTGATGTAAGTCAGAAAGAGAAAAACAAATATCATATGCTAACACATATATACAGAATCTAAAAAAAAAAAAGTCATGAAAAACCTAGGGTCAAGACGGGAATAAAGACACAGACCTACTAGAGAATGGACTTGAGGATACGGGGAGGGGGAAGGGTAAGCTGGGACAAAGTGAGAGTGGCATGGACATATATACACTACCAAACGTAAAATAGCTAGCTAGTGGGAAGCAGCCACATAGCACCGGGAGATCAGCTCGGTGCTTTGTGACCATCTAGAGGGGTGGGATAGGGAGGGTGGGAGGGAGGAAGATGCAAGAGGGAGGAGATATGGAGACGTATAACTGATTCACTTTGTTATAAAGCAGAAACTAACACACCATTGTAAAGCAGTTATACTCCAATAAAGATGTTAAAAAAAAAACAGTGATTGCACACAAGGCTACAGAATCAGTTCAGTTAATCGTCAGGGCTGGGACCATATGACTCAATGAACAAAGGATGTCATCATTCGCCATGCTGAACTCCCCTCATGCAAGGACAAACGAGCTTTCACGACAAGGAGTTCTCACCATGAATCCAGCACTTCCAGCAATGGCACCTATTACAGTCTTTCCTGGAAGTCGTCCCACTAAAATAGGTGTGATATTTACCTCAGTTCAAGATATCAGTCTAAATAAGTGCCAGCTCCTGGAGGAAAAGGAACAGGGGTGTTGATTTGGGGGTGGGGGAAGGGGGGGTGGTTTCCTAAAAATGCTGTTTACAAACATAATATGCCAATGACAGCAAATGAGAGCAGAAAGCATCTCTTGTTGGCCTAAACAAGAAGTGGTTAACCTCGTCCCAACTCCTGTCAAGAGACCTTAGTTGCCCTGTCACTTTACTGAAGGAATCTGAATTCATTTTTTTTCAAACCCTTGAGGTTAAACTATCCAGCATGCACCAGCCTCAGGGACAATCAAGTGACAACCAAGGGGTGGCAGAAAGTAGCAGAAATGTCATGAGGTTTGGAGACAGGACAGACCAGGGTTTGGAAATTGGCTCGGACACTCAGCTTTTCTGAGCCTAAGTGTCCTCAGCAAAAAAAAAAAAGGGGGGGGAGGGGATGGGGGGGAGGGGAATGCTTTCCTCAATAATTAAATGAGATGAGAAAAATAACAGCTAATAACACTTACTGAGTGCTTGTTTTGTGCCAGGCACTGATTTGAAGGGCTTTAAATGCGTTAACTCATTTACTTATGACAACAACATTATGAAATAGATGGTACCATTGACTCCATCTCACAAAGACAGACACTGAGGCACAAAAAAAGGTTACGTTATTTGCCCAAGTCACTCAGCCAATAAATGGTAAAAACCCGGATTCAAATCCAGGTGCTCTCACTCCAGGGCCCTCAACCTTAACACCACCTACTAATGCCCTTGGGAAGCACTTGATACAGCACCTGGCAAACTGAGGCAGTAAATACAGGAATAAAAGAGAGAAAAAGAGGGGACAGGAAGAAGGAAAAAAACCTTTACTCCATTTCTCTCCTGGGATTCCAGGTCTCCCAGAGTTAGTTGGTAAGGTCTTTAAAAGACCGTAGCTCGGGGCTTCCCTGGTGGCGCAGTGGTTGAGAGTCCGCCTGCCGATACAGGGGACACGGGTTCGTGCCCCGGTCTGGGAAGATCCCACATGCCGCGGAGTGGCTGGGCCCGTGAGCCATGGCCGCTGAGCCTGCGC